TCTCTCCTCTGCTCTCTCCTCTTCCACACTCTCTCCTCTGCTCTCTCCTCTTCTACACTCTCTCCTCTGCTCTCTCCTCTGCTGGATTTTAAAGGGGAATCCTTATAATACTTCGTCATTAAACCCTGAAAAACACTTTATTGTAATATGGTGACCTCATGCTGCTCTGATAGAAGTGTAACTAAACCAAACAGCTTATAACACAGTAAAATAGATACGTTCTGTCTGGCCGCTCTTGTGATTCACACACCCTGCCACAGTGCATAGCCAGTTACAGTTAAAGCATATCTCCGGCCTTTAGACCCTTCAGTCTTGCACAGTTGTACCCGCTCCTCTCCAGAACTGATATTTACTCTGATTTCTCTGCACACTGCGAGCTCCTCACAATGTGCATTAGAAGCCGCAGCAAGTCAGATAGAGCCCGCCTCGTTTCCTGGCTGGAGGACGTCCAGCATCATCTAGATCTTTGTTCTACCAGCCTTACTGTCCCAGGCCCCACCCCTTCTATTCAGTATATTTTAAGTCCTTTGTAATCATGGGGGCTCAGCATCACATGCTGGTGTTACCTTGGGGGATCTGAATGCAATTACAGCCTAGGAATGTCTACTCCTTTGGAATGCCCACTGTTAGAGACTGACATCCACCATTGAAGGCATTTTGATATTTGCATAACTCCTCCCAAGAGCCGGCCCACTGCTTGCATCAGGGCTGAGGGCTCTTGATAGGAGTACTGAGGCAGGGTGCTGTGATGTTTTCAAAAAGCTATGTACAGCACCCTGCCGGCCCCTCCCACCAGTCATGATCTGCCTGTACTATATAGAGGAGAACAGCACCAAGTGCTGATGTCACTGGGTCTAACGTATGTAATGAAAAGGGAGATGTTTTATTTTAAAATGTCATTAGCATGTGGATGATGAGGAGGAACCACAGAAGGCAAAGTGGAAGATTAAACTTCAGCTTTAAAGTCAACAATGGTTTGTTTTAGGGGTGATAGGAGGAACCAGGGAAGGCAAAATATAAGCAGATTAAACTCCAGCTTTGAAGAATACTGAGGCCTCACCTCCCTGCACCAGCTTGTTTGGGAAACGAATCAAAAGCAGCACACTCAGCCATCTCTTTGCTCTCTGATGCTGTAAGCAAGCTCACTGTGTTAGACCGACAACACTTAGCATTTCACTGGATTGGTATGGCTGGCCTTTGCTTTCCAGGTCTATGTTCTGATGTGCAGGGGGTTAGAAATGCAGATTTTAACAAGCTGCTTAAACAGAATAAGACAAATACTGAATCGTCACCCCAGAGTGCTGGATATACTGTATGGTGCCTCTGTTACCTATCTGGCTGGAGGTCATTAAACCCCCGGGGGGGGCGGTTGTATATATCATATATCTAGGGTTAGCAAGCAGTAGATATATGCCAAAAAAATGTTTTTAAAAACTTTTCAAAAGGGTTAAAACGTACCTGTGTCTCCGCCGCGCGTTCCCCTCTGAAGATCTGAAGAGTCTCGGGCGGCCGCAAAGGATCTTGGGCGTATGCGCAGTTCAAATGTTCGGTCAGGAGACGAGGGGAGACACAAGGTAAGTCTATGGAGCAGCGTGCACCCGCATGCAGACACCATGGGACATGAAGTGCCAGTTAGGACAGAGGAGTCAGCGCTGGATCTGAGATCGGCACCAGCGCTGGAGGGACTCCAGAAAACTACAGGAAGGAAGATGATCGGATCAAGACGCACCATTTAAGGTAAGCCCTTACACCATCTTTGGGGGGGGGGGTGAATTTGGCTTTAATGTCACTTTAAGTCACATGCGAGTCTGAATGACCATAAAGATACAGAAGGTGGATAGAGCTGTACCTACCTGAAGTGAGTCGGACTTCCTAGACAGGAGTCTGGGGGCTTTTTGCATCTTCAGAGTTCTTTGGCGGTTCCTTGTTCTCCTCGTAGATGATCCGCACATTAGCCGGTAGATTCCATGGCCCCCTCGGAACTCCTCGATGATGTGTAAAATCACAATTCACGTCGGCAAAGTAAAACAAGTTCCGTCCCGTAAAAGAGGAAACTATCTCGTTGTACAGGATTTGAGCGTCACTTTGTAAAACTTTCATGAAGTTCAATGAAAAGAGTTAAATCAGCAACTCTGGCAAATTTCTGTACAATCTGATCGGAAAAATAACTCTTCTAAGGATTGACATTGGAAACCAAAAGTTTGGCCTCAGCAGTTGTGGTGAGAAAGGAACTTCCTACGATCTCCTTCTAGAATAGACAGAAGATCCCACGGATATGGCCAGACAGAAGATCCCACGGGTAAGGCCAGACAGGAGATCCTATGTATATGGCCAGGCAGAAGATCCTATGTATATGGCCAGGCAGAAGATCCTATGTATATGGCCAGACAGAAGATCCTATGTATATGGCCAGACAGAAGATCCTATGTATATGGCCAGACAGAAGATCCCACGTGTATGGGCAGACAGAAGTTCACACGGGTATGGCCAGACAGAAGATCCCACCTGTATGGCCAGACAGAGTCTTCGTACATGCGACTTCTTAAGCGAGTGGCCATTGTGATAGAGTTTGTATTAGTGATAGATTTTACGGATGAGCCCCTGGACCAGCTGGGTGCTTTTTACCACTAACCAGTTAGTAACTATCACACATACCATGAGGGTGAGGGCGAGAGACTGAAGCAGCCAGAGCAGCATGGTAGACGTGGCGGCCAGCACTGAGTGAGGGACTGGTCCACCCGGGGCTGGCCTCCTCTATACTTCATACAGTTGACTGGACACACACAAAAGTATTGAAGTCAGCTAGGCGATGAGTGGGAACAATAGTGCTCTTCTTCTACCAGCTGCACGTGCTTGGTAGAGGGCGCCCCCTGCTGTCCACCGTGCAGCTTTGCTGATCATTCAAGTGTTTGTCCATTTGCTTTGGTGGATAATACAATATTCTGTAAAGCTTGCCTTACATATCAGTTCTTAGTAATTTCCTATGGAATACCTGGTGAGTTCCCCTCTCTTCCTCTTTGGATCTGACCACGCCAAGCATGGATGTAGATTTGTGCTGGCGTGGTCAGTTTCCATCCCTGGGTTTGCTGATTGTAGACACAGGATGCACAACGTGCCTGTATCTCCCATAGTGAGCTGTTATTTATTATATTTCTATAGCACGTTTCCCCTTGGCAGCTTTATCTGTTGCCTTGCCCCATACCCAGCTTTGCTTTGTTGATTGATAGGGACTCCCCAGCAGGAGCCTTGCCATCAGAATGTGCCCGGTGTGTGTGACTTCATTGGCTATAGTACGGTGACTGTATCTGATGGGACGCAGTCACTTTTCAGCCTCTAATTTTCCACCCGGCTCAGTTGATCTTTAAATTGACTTTTCCTGGGCCGGGTGGTGCTTGCAGGGCCATCCACAGCTTGAATATGGGACGATTTATTTCCAGCTTTAGGCAGGCTTTCTGATCGTACCAATTGATGCCCCCTGATAGCCACCAGACTGCATACTGGGGATCTCCAGTTGTTATTAGAACATTGACCAGCCTGGCTGAAGACGATGTGGCCGGGAGATTGATATCTCATGTCTGTGGGGGACTTTAAGGGATAAGTACATCTTTACACTTTTCCTATAAAAGTACCCCGACCTTGAAGAAACCGATCAGTCCTTGTGGGCCAAATGGGGCCTGATGGGTCTGACGCATCTAAAAGCTGGCCATAGACATGAACGTTTGGATGTGCGTGATCCTATGATCCATCCAGCCCACGACGTCTTGGTCAGTTCTTCTCTTGAACTGAAGCACTGTGGTCATAGAAATGCTTCATTTTGGGGCAATGGAGGATAAAGGGGGAAGCTCACATAGAAAAACAATAACAGCAGTCGAAAAAGGTTTTATAACCATTGTGTGCATTGGAATTGCTTGCTCGGGGGCCATGATGTGTCCGTTGGCAGTGGATCGTTGCCCGGTGCAGCCAAGGCACAATTGTCACTTTGCTCTATGAAAGTCGCACCCGCGCCGGCTAAACTGCTGCCTCCTAAAGCAGACCTCCAGCTCCTAAAAAATCTGACTACCTAACTACATTCTACTCAATACAACGCATAAAGTTAGTGCCTCCTCCTCCACTGTTTCCCTAAAGTAAATGTTCTATGTTAGAAACCTGTGCCGCCATTTAAAAAGGTAGGTACTGGTAATGTAGCCTTCCCAAGGGGCATCCGTGAGGCCGCGGCTACGTCACCAGTACCTAAGAAGACCAGGAAGTGGGAACCCAGTGAAGGCAAGTCATGGGATGTTTTCACATCAGCATGCAGAGGTGTAAAGGGGTAGAAGCAGGTCCGGATTTACTCTCTCTGCTGCCCCAAGGCCAGGTTCCTCAATGCGCCCCCCTAACTGCCAATAATTGCAGAAACGTCACCAGCACACCAAATCCTTATAGGATCAAAGTTCGTAGATTTTATTGCAAACTCATGTCAGTTACACAGACATGATCGTGTTATACAGGCTGTATACAAGTGATCTCGGTGACATCACCGAGATCCCTTGTACAAAACAAGCGGCGGCTTCCCCGCTGTACATTTAGCTCTGCTTGCCCAAAGCAGGGCTAAATGTAAAAAGCAACTACCCGCCCGGCGCCCAGAACTGCATGTCCCAGGCATCGGGAAGTCCACACCCCTGCTGCCCCTCTACTCCTATGCGGGAAATCGAGCCCTGGGTAAAGGTCTGCTAGAGAGGGGGCAGTGATGGTGAGACATCTCACTGGTTTGACCAGCTGGGGAATGACATAGAA